TCAACAAAGGTATACCGGGTGGGTATGGACATATAAGCTCTCCACAAGTTTTTCCAAGGCTGTCTTTGACACTCACTTTTCTCTTACTTGCAAAGAAGGCGTCTCTAGGACTCAGGCTCATGGTAATTCCATCAAAGGGTGCACCACAACCATCATCTACCCTATCTTCAATGCGTTGAATTGGTAAGAAAGTTTCTGGTAAATGTTCTAGTCCTGATATAAGCCTATCAACATGCTCTCTACAGGTTCCAAGGTTAAAAGCAAACGTAATAGATCGGGTACCAGTAAGTTCTGAAACGACCCCATATTTCCTGTATAAGATCTCATCAGCTTCAAGACCAGAAAGACCAAGCTGCCATACACCAATAGTAATTCGCAGAGGATCAATTACTGGAAAATCAGAAAAACTTGGTAAATCGAGGACTGAAAGTTCACGAATTTTGTTGATCCTAGTTTTTACCTCAACAGCCAATTCAATTGCTTTGTTAAAAAATTTTTTTGGGTTTTCACTTATTTGGGCCCTTGTGGCATCCAATGATGCTAAAAGCAGATAACTAGGGCTCGTGCTTTGAAGGTTTTGCAGACATCTACAAATTCTTTCTCTATCAACAAGATTTCCAGACACATGCAACATCGATGACTGTGTAAGAGAGCACAGAACTTTGTGAGTAGACTGCACAGCAAGATCAGCCCCTTGATGGAGAGCTGACCTAGGCAGCTGTGGATGGAATCCTAAGTGTGCCCCATGAGCCTCATCAACAATTACGGGAATTTCATGAGAATGACAGAGCTGAGAAATCGAACCCACATCGCTGCAGATACCATGGTAAGTAGGGGAAGTGACGAAAACTGCAGCTGCTTTTTGACCTTCCATTTCCAATTCCTTGATTGCCTTCTCTACCTGTAGCAACGACCATGTCAATTATACACAAAACATATGTAAATCCCAAGGAGGGTAAATAGAAATTAAGATCTACACGCTTTCACTGAATCCTATTCATTTTCTGTACCGCAAATACTTGAAAAGATAATTTCAAACTTCATCACTCAAACCCAATCTCAAACGTTAAACACTCAAAATAAACTACCTCTTACAAAAGGCGACTCATTTAAAACCATGAAATGTGGTATTGTGCACTCACCTGAGATGGAGTGATGCCACCAGCAATGTCCCAATCAAAATTATACGCAGGGCTAATGTACTTTGGTAGTGCGCCAGACAATACCATGGCGGATGTGGCTGATATATGGCAATTCCGAGGGAGAATAAGAGTTTCTCCTGGTGAACATGTAGCCATGACGGCAGCATGGATTCCACATGTACTACCCCCAACTAGGAACCATGTCTCAAATGCTCCAAACAGCTTAGCAGCTTCTTTTTGTGCATCTAAAATGGGCCCCTCTGGAGTAAAGAGGTTGTCAAGTTCTGGAAGCTCAGGTAAGTCATGAAGGAAAGGTCTTACACCAATAAGCTGAGTCAATGACGATGGTGCAGCTCGCCCTCTGTTGTGACCAGGGAAGTGAAAACTGGCTGCATTTTCTTCTGCTGAAGCTTTCAATGCACTAACCAGAGGAGGGAGCTTATGTTGTTGGACTGCCGAGGAATCAGGAATAACTATATCATCCTTTGTGACAGATCGACAGTTTTCTATCAGGCTCATGCTGGCTTTCTTCTTCCCTTGATCTAAGGTATGCGTTTCCTGCAAAACATGGATCTCCAAATAAATAAGCAAACAAACCTCCTCATGTACAATATAACATTTATGCAGCCTATTTTTTTCCCAGCACCAATCTCATAACTACACCAAGACTTAGAAAGTACAGATGTAGGCTCTGCCGCTCGGCAGACCTTAGCCAGATGTCTTCCCAGGTGCTGTGAGGGTCGCCAACCTATGAGCCTCCTTGGTGACTGTTGATCAGTGATCCCATCCTGGTAAGTAAATAAATATTGAAATTGCCTCAAAAATTATAAAAAAAAAAGTAACCAAAGTCAAAATCCCTGCATCACCAGCCCCAAGAGCGATACACACACACGAGTCATAGCCAAGGCAAACTAAATTGAACATGGACAAAACTGGCAGAGATAAATTGGTAGGATCACTTCTGCATTCCCCAACCATTGTAAGTTTTAAAAGAAATCATCTGCACCTATACTAATGAATTTAACTGGATACAATAGAAACATAAATATCTTCTAAACAGTCCACGAGTAAGAAATCATTCCAAAACCTTTACCATAGTAACTTTTTAAAAGGCTAAATAGTTAACCACCACATCGGTTTCGGCTGTAACAAAATTTATTTTCTACCTAAATACAAAGAATTTACAATGCCTGTTTTAAGGGACAAAACCATCACACCAGAAAATTATTTGTGTTTTTGGGAACAACATTTTGCTTGAATGAAGCCTGTTCAGTGAATCTAACGAGATTTGAGATCAACAATACATAGAGAGTATTTTATCTCAGGTGAAGAGAAAATCTAAATTACTTCAAAGAATTTAAACTTCTTTCAAAGCTATATTTCTATTAAGATCAAACACATCAAATGAGACATTGATTGCATTGGGAAATTTAACGAGCAATAGTGGTGTTTTGAAAGCGTAGGAAAGTTCTTTCCAATTTCCACATTAGCTAGAATTTTATGCTAAATGATTTTGAAGTTCGTAAAAACATTTGGACATGTTACACTGCACTCTTGAATTCAGATTTGTTAACCTCTAGCTATAATATGCTCATGCTATCAATCCTTTAAGTCGGTCAACCAACAACACCCCGAGCAGGTGGACGAAAAGAGGAAATATGATTTTTGGTGATTCTTGACAGAAGAAAAGAGAATTAATTGAATCTCACCAAAAGGTTTGAAAAATTGACATTGGTTCGCATTTATTCGGATTTGTCGAAATAAGCCATTTAAAATAAATTCAATCAATCAGGCATAAGTAACGTATATGAAAAAGAACACTCAATTAAAGGAATTACTCTCAGATACAGGCCCTTTTACAATGTTGATATATTACATTATGAACTCAAGAAAAGCCCGTACACTTCAAATTGAGGCATCGACCTTGGGGTGAGCACATTGATTAATTATTTTTTCAAATAAAAGATGAGAAAAACAAAAGAAATTGCCAATAGTCTTAATCAAATCAAAAATTGAAGAGAAAAGGAGAACAGATTACTAAACAGATGAAGCTTCTTCCATTGTCCAATCATGCTGCCAAACTTAATACCAACTATGTTAAACTTAAATGTGGCATTTATTTTAGTAAAAAGATTTCTATAACTTTCCTCTGGAATGCAAAGTAAAAATAAGAAGAAAATATCTTGAGAATAATCCACCACTTCATGGCCGTTTCAACCGTACGAACATCTTTGAATATACATTAAACCCTGGCAAATTTAATAGAAACAATAAGTTTTAAGAAGGTTTTTCAAATACCCACCTGGGATATACCAGCCTCTGATCTCCTGCAAAGCCTGAAACTCCCTTTATTGCCCAAACTGAGGCAAAGGTGCTGCCAACAAATTAAAATCAAGTTTCCAATATAAGGTTCATTTGGGTGTTGAACATACAATAAATACAAAGCAAGCATACAAATAAAGATGCATGCTTGGGTGGGTGGGTGGGGGATAGATAGAGAGAGAGAGAGAGAGAGAGAGAGAGAGAGAAATCTTACCACATCCAGAAAAGCAGACACCATTGTTGGTATTGAGCGAAAGGTTTGACCGTGTCCAAAGTCTTCTGGATTTGCCCCCAAGTATTGGTGTAGCAGTCCATTAGGCTAGGTCCAGTCTACGTTTTACTAGACTGTGGGCCGTATTAAACTACCCTGGTAGCACAAGGAATTGGGGGAATTGTAAGCAGGGATACGAAATTATAATTATTGGTTAAAAAAAACATAATTTTTAATATTAGGTTATTAAGTCTTTTTTTTTTATAAGTTAATTGTATTCAAGTACACAATTTGACTTTTTATAATTTTTTTGACATATTTACCTCCCTTAAATCATGCATATTTCTTTTGGCAGTTAAGTTGATTTTTGATTTTGTTTTATTTTATTAAAAATTTCTTAATCTAATGAAAAAATTATATTATCACAAATTTTGTTTCTAACGTTGATTGTGTATATCTTAGCCGTTTTGAATTTTAAATTTTTTGTCATGATCCTTACCATTCAACATATCTCTCTTTTCTTTAATATATATATACACACACATGATATTACGAGGTCACACTATGAAGCATACTTTGTATTACTCCTACACTGTTTTGATATACTGTATTGATATGCTTTAAATTTGTGTAATTCTTAATCCCTAATTACTATTACTCGTAAACTGTTTCATATATTATATTGATACACTTTAATTTCATAAACCCTTTAAAGTGTATCAATACAGTGTATCAAAACAGTGTAAGAGAAACTAGGCTTTATAATGTGACTTCGTAGTATTATATATATGTGTATATATATGTGTGTGTGTGTGTGTGTGTGATAGAGAGACCAAAGTTCTTTAATTTTAGTACTTTTTAAGATAAGATAATTAAAATTCCTTAAAGAATATTGACGTATTGACTAGGGAAAGGTTTCGTGAACTTTTTCTTGGGCAAGTATTTCCTGTTAGCTCTTGAGCAAGTGAAAGTCCATAAATTTCTAGACCTGAAGCAAGGGACAATGACGATGATGCAATATATGGTGAAGTTCACCAAGTTTGCCTGTTTGGCCGACATTATGTGGCCACAGATTTGGCCAAGGTGAGGAGATTTGAGGATGGATTGAAATTGTCTATCCGAAGAGAGATTGTAGGCCACCGCCTACAAGACCTAGACTCGATGGTCAAGACTGTCATGGCTATTGAGAGGGAGGTCAATGATGCAAAGAGTATATGGGAGGCTGGAGCCAAGGACAAGAAAATGAGGGTCAGTCCTCTTCTACTAGTTCGGGGAAGAAATAAAGGACATCTACCCCACAAGGATCACAACAGCAGGGCTGAGCCTATCAAAGCCAAGGCCAAGGTTAATCTCCCAAGGTGGGAGAAATGTTAGGATCCCCTATCAGGTTAGCCAAAAGACTTGCAACGTATGTCACCAATTAGGCCACTTGAAACAGGATTGTCCTTAGCGACAAGGATCATAGAGTTACAAGACATCTCAGTCCTAGTCATCAGTGGGGCCTGCACAGACATTTTAATATTACTTCCTATGTCAGCATGGGCCAAAGGGAACCAGTATCAGTATCAGGCTATGGGGTTCACATGCGGGGACTTTGCAATCAGACCAGATGGGGCAAGATGTGGGCCAAGGCTAAAAATAGGGGCATGCAGACAGGAACTTCAGGGACTTAGAGGTGAGTCTTTTCTGTTACTTCTTAGACTGAGCTGGTGGATTAGAAATAGTGATTTAGGGCATATTTTTATTTCTCATTTATGGGCAAGGGTGTTATTTGATTTGGGTGCATCTTATTCATTCATTTTTACATATTGTGTGAAAGATTTGGGCTTAGAGGTTAAGACCTTAAAGGAGTCATTGCATGTGAATTCTCCCCTAAGAGCTAGGGTTTGCATTGATAAGAAATTTCTGGGATGTGAGTTACATATCTCAAGGATTCAACTCACGGTGGACCTTAGGGTCATAGACATGTCAGAGTTTGACATCATCCTTGCAATGCATTAGCTGATGGCGCATTGGGTAGTTATTCATTATTATAAAAAATGAGTCATCGCCTATACTTTGGATGAGATTTATTTCAAGTTTTAGGGAGAAAAGCACAATGTTTTACCCCAATCTGTGTATGACTCCTATTGGTATAGACCGTGGATGGGTTATCTGACGAGCCTTACATTTGAGGAGGATGTGAGATAGGAGTTGGGTCTACCTCTCATAGTTTGTAAGTATGCGGATGTTTTTCCAGATGAGTTATTGGGATTACCTCCATATCGGGATGTTGACTTCTCCATTGAGTTACAACCCAGTGTATCGCCTATCTCGTTGGCAACGCATAGGATGGCACCAGTAGAGTTGCAAGAACTCAAAGTCCAATTACAAAAATTGTTGAACATGTGTTTTATTAGCTGAGTACCACACCTTAGGATGCTCTGGTATTATTTGCCAAGAAGAAGGATGGGGCCCTTAGACTTTGTATAGACTATTAGTAGTTGAATAGGGTCACATCAAGAACAATTACCCATTGCCAGGCATAGATGACTTGTTTGATCAATTGAGAGGGGATCGAGTCTACTCTAAGATAGACTTGCGCATAAGGTACCATCATTGAAGATAAGGGAAGCCGACATTTCTAAGACAACATTTAAGACTCGATATGGCCACTTTGTGTTTATAGGTATACCTTTCGAATTGATGAATACCCCGACAGTATTCATGGATCTTATGCATAGGGTGTTCAAACCCTATCTTGACTAGTTTATCATAGTGTTTGTAGACAACATTCTTGTATACTCCAAGATGGAGGAGGAGCATGGACACCACTTGAGGATTATTTTACATGCCTTGAGAGATCATCAGTTGTACGAAAAATTTAGTAAGTGTGAGTTTTTGGCTGAAGGAAGTCAAGTTTTTTGGACATGTTGTGTCCGTTACGGATGTATTAGTTGACCTGAAAAAAGTTAAGGCGATGATGCATTGAGAGAGACCAAAGTTAGTCTTCGAGATATGTAGTTTCTTGGGATTGGTAATGTACTATTAGAGATTCATTGAGGACTTCTCCCAAATAGTGGCCCCTATGACGAGACTTACGAGAAAGGAAATCTGATTTCAGTGGGATGACTTATGTAATAGAGCATTCTAGGAGTTGAAGAGGAGGCTTACTTCAGCTTCTATTCTTATAGTGCCAGCGAGGGAACAGATATATACAGTGTATTGTGATGCCTCGAAGGAAGGACTAGGTTGTGTATTGATGTAGTCTGGGAGGGTGACAACTTATGTTTCATGACAGCTTAAGAACCACGGGAAAAAAAACCCTACATACACATGGAGTCGACTCATGTTGTTTTTGCCTTTAAGGCATGTCGTCACTATCTATACGGAGAACAGTTTGAGGTTTTTCTTTTCACAGATATACGATCGTTATATCGCTTCGAGCCAAGAATTAAATTGCTCTATGCAATGAGAGCTGCACAACCATACCAAAGATCATACTTTTCTCAAAAAATCTCAAAGAAGAGAATGAAGGCTAAGGCTTGGAGGGCTTGATTTGGGTGCTTGAGATTTCTACTACT